GTGGTGCCCGATGTCATCTCCTAGAGCGCTGCACGGCCAGGGTGGGTGAGAAGAACCAGCAGGGGCCGCCATTCCACAATGAAGTCTCGGGCGGCAGCCCACGACGGGCGGGCGATCCTCTGACGGGCGGGTCGGGCGGGTGGGACATTCAAGCGGGATGCCTGAGTAGGGCGGGAGCGCGATTCCTAAGTAAAGTGTGACGGCGACCTTGGCGCGAGCGTGGTGCCTGAGCGTAGATATCGCGATGTTTGAATCAACCGCGAAAGAGTCACAGGCGAGAGCGCAATTCCTGAAACGAGGATGTCTGGCGGGAGCGGGCGTCTAGACTAAAGCGCAAAGGAATCTTGAGCGGGAACGCCGTTCTTGACTAAATTGTGAGGAAGCCTCAGACGGGAGGGGGGGTCCTGATTAAATTGCGAGGACGTCACAGGCGGGAGCGCCGATCCCGAGTAAATCCCACCAGCCTTCTGGGCGTATGTGGTTTAGGGCGCTTCCTCTTCACACCCCTCCTTCTTCCCCTTCGGGCAGGGGTTTATCACTGCTCCCTATTAATAAACACCCCCTCCCCCAGGCGACTGGGGGCCAACCCAGGTCCATGACGACCCCCCCCCCACAATCCCTTGTAACAACATTTCAAACACACACTCTGCCTCCAAATTCAGAACATGCGCAGCCAACCCGATGCGCCCCCCCCCCCCCCCCCCACCATCCCTGTCAAAAAAATACAAAGTACACTTGGCGGAGGCGGCGGCGGCTGCGGCGGCGGCTGCGGCGGCGGCGGCGACGGCGGCTGCGGCGGCGGCGGCGGCGGTGGCGGCGTTGGCGGCGGCGGCGGTAGCGGCAGCGGCTGCGGCGGCGGCGGCAGCGGCGGCGGCGGCGGCGGCGGCGGAAGCAGCGGTGGCGGCGGCGGATTGGCCCCCAGTAGCTACCCATCCAAAGACGACTGCTGAATATGCCGAGGCTCGGGCCAGACTCGGGTGCTACGTACGTGTTGGGAGGGCGGGTGGGAGTGAACGAGACGGCTTGCGGGCGGGGGGGGGTCTTGACCCCTCCCCCTACCCCCTCCCCTGGACCTGGACGGGGGGGGGGCGCTGGTCGGCAGAGCGTCCAAGATGGCCCAAGACGGCTCCAAGAGCGCTTCGGAGAGCCCAAGATGAGCTCCAAGATGGCTCGGTATAGCCTCAAATGCCTCAAGATGGCTCCGAAGATGCTCCAAGAGGCTCCAAGACCGCCCCGAGACGGCTCCAAGAGGCCAAATTGCCTCCCAAGAAAGCCTCCAAGAAGCCCAAACCCTTCAAACACCTATAACAACCTATGATGGTTGCATTCTCGCCTTTTCGCTTCCGATGGCCGTCCGAGGCCTCAAGATGGCTCCAAGAGGGGCCACGGAAGCCCCAAGAGGGGCCCAAGAGAGCGCCCAAGAGGGGTCCAAGAGGGGTCCAAGAGGCGATTTTAGAGGCTCCCGAGGGGGGACGCTAATTGCCACCACCCTCTTCTTTGATCGATCTCCTCCAAGATGGCCCCAAGAGGCGCCCAGGAGGCCCCAAGAGGCCCCCAAGATGGCCCCAGGACACTCCCAAGAGGCCTCCAAAGAGGACCCAAGCGGCCCGAAGAGGCTCCCCCCCCCCCCGAGGGGCGCAAGACGCCCAAGAGCCCCCCTGGAACGCCAAGATACCCCCAAGACGCCCCAAGAGGCATCCAAAAGGCTTCCGAGAGACATCCGAAAGGCATTGAAGATGCGTCTGGCTATTCTGCTTGTTCTCGTCCTCCTCATTATTATTCTTCTTATTCTTCTCCACATTCTCTTCCTACTCCTCCTCCTCCTCCGCCTTTCCCTCCTCCTCCTCCTCCTCTTCCCCTTCCTCCTCCTCCTCCTCGTCCTCCTCCTCCTCCTCCTCCCCATCCCCCTCCCCCTCCTCCTCCTCTTCCTCATCCTATTCATCATCTTTCTCCCAACTCCCTCATCCATCCATCCGTCCATCCACTCAGCGTCATCATTCTCCTCATCCTTTCTTCGCTCGGTTCGGCTGTCCCCCTCTTTGCTCCCACACTTCCTTGGTCACCTCAACTCGCCTGGGCGTCGTTTCTGGATGGGCCGGTCCCCATCCTCTCTCCTCCTCTCCTCCTCTCCAGCCCTTGGTTGCTCTGTGTGCTCCCTCACTTCCCTGATCACTTCCATTCGCCTGGGCATTCGCTGGTCGAGAACCAGCAACATCAGCAGCAACAGCATCAGAAGCAGTACCAGCAGGAGCAAGAGCACCAGCAGCAACACATGAAACCTTCACCATAAAAGATCTCCCAATTCACCGTTGTTGCCAACTCGGTTTCACTCTGTGCGTCTCTTCTTGCTTTCTTCTGTCAGCTCCCCTACGCATCGTTTGTGGATGGGCTGGTGGGGATACGCGTAGCGTCTAGAAGTGGGTCTCAAGCGGGAGCGGGGGTCCTGAGTAAAGTTGGAGGAAGTCTAAAGCGGGAGCCGTTGTTGTTGTTGTCCGGGGAAGCAACAATACAGTTTGACACGGACTGACTTGTAATGTAATGGAGTATCAAGCGGGAGCGCCTTTTCTGGGTAAATTGGGAGTAAAAAAAAAAAAAAAAAAAAAAAAAATAAAAAAAAAAAAAAAAACAAAAAGAAAAAAGTCCTCCGACGGACGGGGGGGGGTCCTGATAAATTTGAGGAAGTCTCAGGCGGGAGCCGTTGTTGTTACAGTCCGGGGGGCCAGGGGCACAGCTTAACCAGGGAGATTTTCCCTGTCAACAAACAGGCTGCAAGCGTCGAGGAGCACACTTTGACTGAGTGAAAACAATATGCACCAGTGAGGGGGGATCAACAATATATATATATATATATAAGAATATATATATATATATATATATATATATATTATATATATATATATTCTTCAGATTGAGTTTCAAACAACCTGCTACGACTATTACCCATACTACTCTACTCCTCTCTACTACTACTAACTACTCTACTACTACTCCTCCTCCTACTACTACTACTACTACTACTCTAGAGGACTACTACTCACACTACTAACTACTAACTACTACCACTACTACTACTACTATTACGAACTACTACTACGACTACTCTACTACTACTACTACTACTACTTACGACCTACCACTACGACTACTACTACTACTACCACTACCACTACCACTACCACTACCACTACCACTACTACTACTACTAACTACTACTACTACTACTACTACTACTACTTTCATTACTACCAACACGACAACTACTCTACTAGCTAATCTACTACTACTACTACTACTACTACTACTACTACTACACTACACCACTACACTACTACTACTACTACTACTACGACTATTACGACTATACTACTGGTTCAACTCTACTACTACTAGTAATACTACTGCTACTACTTCTACTACTACTACTACTACTACTCCT